ATAATGATGATGTTGACAACACCCTGCTGATACACCAGCCACGAACGATTTCGTGCTATTATGGTGATGCGAGCAGCAGCATGGTGATGCGAGCAGCAGCATGGTGATGCGAACAGCATCATGGGGATCGCAAATGCAACAGCATGATGGTACCACTGCCACGAATCATCTTGCGACAACGAAATGAAATTCAGCATCATCCTGATGTTGACAGATCATGGCACCACCGCGCCCAGGAACCATAACGCAGCATCGCAGTGATTCCAGTTGACTACATCATGATGATACACCAGCCACGAACCACTACGCGCCACAGTTAAAGCAGCAACAACGTCCGAATCGGTTCAGCTGACTGCATCATGATGATGCCACAACCGCAACACCACAAACAGCACGCGCCCTACACCCTGCCACCCATATGCGCCCGCACCGTCACCAACACCTCAAAACAGCAGCCCCAACAGCACCCCAATGCAGCACCTGCGCGCACCGGACCAGCACCCCAACTGTGCCCCCTAGCAGCCGGCCGTCAAGCTCGCAAAACAGCATCCACCATTACCCCAAACTGCATGCCCCCTAGCACCCGGCTAGCACCCGGCCGTCAATCTTGCAAAACAGCATCCGCCAGCACCCCAAACTGCATGCTCCCTAGCACCCGGCTGTCAAGCTCGCAAAACAGCATCCACCAGCACCCCAAACTGCATGCCCCCTAGCACCCGGCCATCAATCTCGCAAATCACTTTCCCTTCTTTATTAGAAGTTAGACCCCTGTAGCTTTCAGCTATCTGGGGAATAAGAAGCAACAACTAAAACAAAAACAAATAATTACACCGGCATAGACCCCAGATAGCAATGATTGCACACCAGCACCTCCAACAGCACCCCCCGAAGAGCGTCCCAAACAGCACCCGGCCGTCAATCGAGCACCCGCGCCATCACTAGCACCTCCAACAGCACCCCAAACAGCATCCCAAAACAGCACCTGCAGCAGCACAAACTGCATGCCCCCTGCGCCCTGCCGTCAATCTCGCAAAAAAGTGCCTGCATCACCCTAAGAGCACCCCAAACAGCACCCCCCCAAACACCCAGCTGCACCAGCACCCCAAGCTGCGTGCCCCCTTGCACCCTACCGTCAAGATGCAAAAATGTGCCTGCACCGTCACCTGCATGCCCGATAGCACCCGGGCGTCAATATCGCAAATTACGCCCGCACCGTCACCAGCACCTCAAACAGCTCCCCAAACAGCATCCCAAAAACACCACCAGCACCAGCACCCCAAACTGCATGCACGGGGGCACCCTACCGTCAAGATGCAAAAACACGCGACGCACCGTCACCCCCAAAACAGCACCTGCACCAGCACCCCCAAACTGCATGCCCCCTAGCACCCTACCGTCAATCTTGAAAAGATGCGCCCGCACTGCCATCAGCACCTCAAACAGCACTCCAAGCCGCCAAAACCAGCACCCCAAACTGCACGCCCCTTAGCACCAGCCCATCAATCTCGCAAATCACTTCCCCTCTTTATTAGAAGTTAGAACCCCTATAGCTTTCAGCTATCTGGGGAAAAAAGAAAAGAAACAAAAACGTCACAAAAATCAAGAACAATCATTGACTCCTCCCATCTGGCCCTCCCAGATGGCGCCTTCTCACGCTCAAGGCGCCGCTGGCGCTCGCGCTTGTCCCAGATCTGGTACTTGGCCTCCCGCCTGCATGGCATGTGAGTCTTTCTCGGGGTCGGTCGCCCTCTTCGGGGCCGGTTCCAAGAGAAACCAAAAACAAAAAGGGGAGACCCGTTTCCGGGGGGTGGTGAAGACCGTTGGGAGCCAAAACCCCAACGGCCAAGGGCTGATCTCGCAGCAACTTCTTGTAGACTGCCTGTAAGACAAACCGTGCTGTGGCCTAGCCCGATGCAACAGCTTGCCTGGCAAGGCCAACTTCGTCCACCCTGACCTTTGCCCCCAACGAATCCGAGCTTCGGCTGAAACCTGGCACGCATGATCAGCCATCGAGGCCTTGATCTGCAAAGTCCAGTGTGCGTTCAAAAAACTGAAATCAGGGACAAACACATCGAGAACCTACGTCATTCTGGGGGTAACTTCCCCATTCTTTCCAGGGATCCTTCTTTCTAGAAAACCACCAAAAACCCTGGGGAAATGGCTGTTTTTGAAAAGAACGATGGCTGAAAAGAATGCGGAATCAACCCCTAGAATCATGGTGAGCTCGCGTTACCCCCGATCGGCGAGCCCGCTATAAAATATGAGGACTGATCCAAGTGGAGTCCCGGCGTCAGCTTTGGTATCCTTCTGCCCGGCTCATGCTGCTTCAGCCAGGGGCTTTCAAACAGCAAAACGCGAATCACCTCAAGAGACAAGACGTGTCCTACGTCTCGCAAACCTTGGAACTCTTCAAAAACTCGAGATGTCTGGAAGGATTGCGATTGGAGGCATCTCATCCAACCGAAATGGCTCCAGAGCTTATGGCTCCAAACTGCATCAAGGGCACCCGTCGGCGTAGCGTGCTGTGCGACATGTGCGCGGCGATGGAAGGGTCTGACCTGCGCAGGGCCATGGCAACCTTGCGTCACAAGGGTCACCAGAAACCACCGCGACCCAAGGACCCTGAAGAAAGAGAGGCCAATGGCGCCACCTGCGTTTTTTTGGGGATTTTTGTTTGTTTGATATTTATTTATTTTTTGGGGCTGGGGACATTGGTTTCTGTGAAGAAAAGCCCCCCAAAGAACCTCAAAGATGCGCGAATGCTTTCCGAGTTTGGATCAGGATGCCAATGATCACAGCACGGCAGAGAGAACGAAACCATGCCAAGGTGCCCACACATTCACGGGATTGAATACCTCTCCCTCCCAAAGATGTCCCAGAAGACCATGTGGTTGGATGGATGCGCCTTTTGTGGACCTGGAAGAGTAGCGAAAGAGTACCAACAAAACATTGGGAATAATGGGTGGAATCCACCAAAAAGCGTGCCAACCGTTTTCCATATTGAGACCATCCCAGGAGCACGCACAGAAGTGAGTGCCTTACCGATGTACACCAGATGGTCGAACCCCTTGTAATAATTTGACTTGGAAAATGAATGGCAACTTAGCCTCCCACCCATGAACATGAAACCTGACAGGGGGCATCTTCCAGGACCATTTCCATTTGATTTGAAGGGGCCCCCAAACTTCAGGTGCCATGTCAATGGAGGATAGCTCCAGCCATCCACGAGGAAAGCCGAAGTCCAGGCGTTTCTCATCCAAACCCTTCACTGTGGGCTGCCCTTCGGGCCTGCGAAAGCACCACGCGACCTCGCCAGCGGAGGGATTGATTCGGGGTCTCTCATTCTTGCCGCGCTCTTTTGAGGCACGTTGCAATGAGTAAAGTAAGGCCTTGGACGTTTTGGTCAGGAGAATTGACAGGACAAAGCTGCTGGTTCCCTTTGTGCCGCGTCCGCTTCGCGACATGCACTATGTTGCCTCCCGCTTAAGCCACCCAAAGGAGACTGAACACAAGGGTAGTTCATGCGGGTTCTTGGCAGAGGGAAACATACCCAAGGCGAAGCCCTGACGAGAAAGGCGTCGGTGCGTTTGCTGGCGAAGTGAAGAAGGCCTCAGGGCTCAAGATAGTTATGCTGGGCATGGCTGGCCCAACAGGAACTGCCCCCGATTGGTGGCTTGGATTTTGTGGCTTGGGGAATTGAACCCTGGGTCCTTGTTGGGATATGAGGCCCCTCTCCCCCCCAAAAAAAAATAATCCAAACCACCAATCCAAACACATCTGATACTGTTGCATGTCATGTTCATTTTGCTCGCCACGCTCGCCACACAGCCCAAGTCAAGCCTTCAACAGCCTCGATGACGTTGGAAAAGTCTCTCGGTCCAATTTATAACGAGTTCCATCTCCATCCCTCATGCCCATGCCAAGAAACGTGCTCAAGCCTATCAAGCCTTCTTTGCAAACCCCAAAAGATGGAGGAACACGTTTAGGGCTGGGCTGGGTTTCGGGCTTCCCCCCTGCTCCTTGGTCAGTCGCAGTGCGTTTTTTGCCGCGCCGAGCTGTGCCCCCGCCGGCCGCCGGCCTCTCCCCCGCGACAAACGCCGCCGCCATGGCGACGTTGACGCGGCGCAGCGCCCAAGTCTTGGAGTCCAGGGATTCGGATGGATCCGACTGGCCTAGCCGTCAGGCCCCCTTGGAGGGAGACGTTTCTGCGTTTCTGGCGGCGAAAAATGACTTTGTGTCGTATCCAGAAGCTGGCCATTGCATCGTGCCAATAACTCCAGAATCATTGCCGTCAGGCTGGCTGCTCCTCGTTCCCGAAACGGTGGGTTCAGTTTGATGCGCTCGCGCAGAGGTTCTGGCCGAAATACCCCGAAAGAGGTCTTGGCCGGAATACTGTCCAACTCGTTGGGCTCCTGAGAACGAAAGGTGAAAAACCAGCGCCAGATCTCGCGCAATGCAACTCCCGCCTCGCCGCTTGAAGTGGTAGAGCTCCGAGCAGAGATCCACCATGACCGCGCCTGGCTGGCTGCCTTGGATCGAAAAAAACCGGCCGATGACGCTAAAGGTGGCTCGCCCGGAAAACACGTTGGGAGCTGGAAAAAGGACGATAGAGACATCACACAGGTTCACACCGAATCAGGATGCTCAAGCTTGCTATCCTCAATTTCAGGGCTGTCAGCCGGCTGGTTTGAATCTGGGCAGAATGCCTTGCCGGAAAGAAAAGAGGCGAGCCCTGAAGAAAGCAACTCGAAAGGATCAAAACTACCCACATCAAGAAGCCCTTCCATTTTGCCACCAGGCACCCACTACCACGCCGTAGACCCGGGCGCCAATAAGGTCCTGCACCAGGACAATGCGCAGGGGGCGGCGCAGGACTGATGACAGCCGCATTTTCTGCCCAAGCGGGTACAAGTTCTCACTAGGAAACCTAGGACGTTCCCTTGTAGTGGATCATTGCGTTCCTGACGCAAAAGTGGTAAGTGGAATGGCTGGGTATGCATCTGGGCTGCATTTACCTCTGCTGTTCTCATGGCTGGCCCCTGATCGCTGTGCCAATGATCATCATTGCGGCTGCCGTCGCTGTCGCCGTTGTCGATCCTCTCGTCATCATCATCATCATCATCAGCATCATCATCATCATCATCATCATCGTCATCATCATCGTCATCATCATCGTCCATCATCATCGTCATCATCGTCATCATCGTCATCATCATCATCACCATCGTCCATCATCATCGTCATCATCGTCATCATCGTAATCATCATCATCAGCATCATCATCATCATCATCATCATCATCATCGCCATCATCGCCATCATCATCATCATCATCAGCATCATCATCATCATCATCATCAGCATCATTATCCTCATCGTCGTCATCATCATCGTCATCATCGTCATCATCGTTCTAGTCACCACTGCCATGGTTGACCTCCGTGTCGTTGTGGTCGTCTTGGTGATCTTGGGCGTCGCGGTCATCTTGGCGGCAGTGGTTGTTGGGAACGGATTTTCTAACGTCGTGATCCGTGTTGTCACCGTCATCGGCGCCGCCGTTGTCATCAGTCTTGCTGTCCCGGTTGGTTGACCGGGATGACTACACGTTGAGGCCTGATAAATTGGCCACGGGCCCAACTAGCCGACCACCGGTCTAGGTAGCCGACCACCTGCAAGCGGGCATTTGAGCTGATGATTGGGAGGGAGGATGACGACGACGACCCTTCGCATTCAATACAAGCAACACCAGGAAATCAAGGCTGCGAGTGACATCTCGAATGCCGCACCGAATGAGAGACTACGGAGATTTCTGCGAAAAGGACCTGCACTGGAATGAGAGTTCCGTCGTTTCATCTCCTCAGGGTGCTGTAAGCCACCCAGGTTCATCAACAAAGAACATACCCAAAACACAAAAAAGCAACACACACACACACCAAAAAAAGGCAACACCCCCCTCCAAAAAACAACACCACACACACACACACCAAAAAAAAAAGAAAAGGAAAGAAAAGCAACACCCCTCCCCCCCAAAAAAATAAATAAATAAAAGGCAACACACACACACACACAACCAAAAACAAGGACAAAAACAGCCCCCCCCCCCCCAAGAATCCAGGACGGGCGAAATTTCGGCCCCGAGCCGTTCCTTCGCCTCCTGCAGCTCCGCCAGGACGCTGGCCTCCGGCTTCGGCACCTCTCCATCCTCGAACGGGCGTCCATGTCGGAGGCACCGGCGCTTTGAGGGGGACACCTCCCCTTTTTGATTTGGGAAGCCCAAATAGAACTTGAGAAGAACAAACCGGGAATATGCACTCTGATCGCTTGAGAAGGGACATGCTTGCGGGTTTAGTTCCCGGGTCAGCATGGAGATAGTTCGGGCTTTGGGGCTTCTTCAGCTCGCCGAAAAAGCCCGTGCCCTGATCGGCGTGTCAGGATCATGCCAAACCCGCCAAATGGAACAGGGCTGCTTACCCCGTTCCATCCTGAAAGCGCAAACAGGGCAGGCTCAGGACGTGGCGAGCAAAAATAATAGAGCTTAAATTCCCACTCGCTCTTAAAAATCGGCGCCTCTGATGGTGGACGTGATAACCGACGTGGGGACAACCCACAAGCCCCTAAAACCTTAAAACTCTGAAACTCCTCAACCCGAAAGTCCTGAACCTCTCTAACACTGAAAGCCTACCCTGCAACCGAAAACCCTGGAGAAGCAACCTCACGAACCCAGGCTTCCCTGAGGAACCCTGAAACCTGAAAACAACGAAAAGCATGGACCACAAACCTTGCTGATGCTTGAATTGGATAAAGCCTCAGCCTAAACCCTAAAAACCCTAAAACCCGAAAAAGTCCTTGAAACCGAATTCAAATGTTGAACCTCGTCTCCGCCAGTGCTACCCTCGCTCGGTGCGCGTTGTCACGTCGATTTATCAGCCCGAAGGCCGCGCTCAAATTGAAAAAGCCTTTGTTTCACATAGAACCAACAATTCCATGGCATCCTCAATTGCAATCTTACAAGCGCCTCTTGGGTCATATAATGAATGAGCACCACCTCTGTTTGAGGAAGCCGGTCGTGATGAAAAGCGGTAAAGGGTACTGAATGGCTTCTGAAGTCAAGGCGTTCCCGCATCAGCAATCCCGACACGAATTGCACTGCAAACCCTCGAACTCCTTTCCAGTTGAAATGACGGAGAGTCACAAGCAAAGAGGCGCAATTAAAAGTGGCATCCTCAAAATCATCCTATCCTCCAAATGGTGGCAGGAAGGCATGAAGGGAAGCAACCAGCCCATCCCTCGCGCTCCGCTGCGACCTTCCACCTTGGCCAGGGGGCCGTCACCACCAGCAGGTCGGCATTCTGCCACTGCGCACGGTGGAGCCTCTCCACGCTTGCAGTGAGCACCTGCGAACACGGCACGCGCTGTTGGTGCGAGGCGGTTTCTGGGGGAACCGGTGACGACGTGGAGGGAAGCTACCGGAAATCAATGGCATGCCAAATGCCAAGCGACAGGCTGATTGGAATTGAAAAAGGCGCTGAACCAAAGGCTTCTTGGATTCTCCGACCCACAAGGGTCCCCTTGATATCGATATCCCCCGCCTTTCCAGGTCTTGCTTAAATAACTTGCCATTTTCCTCAGAAGTGGCCAGCACAGCCCGGATCCAAAAAGGCACTACCATCCCAACCCACGCATGGCCACTCCACTTTCCAACGTCAAGTCGTCAGGACCCGCGCGGTTGCTTCGCAGTGCCGCTCCAGCAAGTCACCCTCCCCCCTCCCCCCCCCACGACACGGCCGCCAAGGCGCTTCGTTCAAGGAGGTGCCCCCGTGAAACGCGAAGCTGAGGAAGTCCAACAAGCCTTCAGCACAGCAAAAACCCATCCTGATTGATCTGCGCGTTTGCATTTCGAGCCAGCACGACATGGGGCAACACGAATGCAGCAAGGGCAGCATATGTAGCACATTCGTCGCGGGGTGCTGAAGGCCCAGCGTCCAGAAGCTTGCTTCGGACAACTGCTGCTCTCATGTCCAAAGGCGACGGGCTGGCTGCGGCTTTGCGAAAGACAGTCCCAGACTACCAGCGTTTGCAAGAATGCTTCTGTCACACGACACAGCACCCCGGACTTTGCTTGGAACCTACGCAAGAAACCGAACTCAGAACCCAAACTCTGGAGCATTGATCGTTGCCTTGTAAAGCACCCGCTTGCGACTGCCTGCCACTGCTTGGCTTGGGGCAAAGCAAACTGGCCGGCATGGCCCTTGCTCACGCGCGGCCGAACTTTTGGATCACTGAGCTGTCCTCAGATCCCCTGCCAAAAGTGGGATGGCTGGGAGCCAGCCAGATCAGCCACCGGCGCAAAAAAGCCAGCTGAGGTGATTCTTCCAACCACTGGGCCTTCCCACCCTCCAGGCCATCCCCAGTAAGGTCCAGCTCCATCTGCTTGAGCTCTTCACCTATGAGCCCCAAAGAAGCTGTTGGGGCCACACGCAGCCAGAATCCAAGTCCCCAGTTGCCAAGGGGAAGGGCGCAGAAACTGACTTTGAGGGCCATTGGCACTGGCAATCTTGTGAGCCCGGCCAAATTAAGCAGGCTGATGTGAGCAACGCGCTTGGATTCCTTTCAACCTTTCGCAGCCCCTGACAACCTACCCGAACCCACAGCAAAGTGGGGGATATGAACCCAGCAAGATCCCCAACTTTATGGATGAGAGTGCATGACATGTGGGTGTGTCATTTTCTGGGAGGGTACCCAATTGTTTTGGTTTTAAAGCGGAACCAAAAGCAAAACCACCATTTGTTGGGGGGATCCGCTCGAAGAAAAAGAAACAAAAAACATTTGGCTAGAGATGTTCCAACAATCTCCGAGCCACAAAAGTTGGTTTTGGCCGAGAGCGCCGCGTTCCTATCCAGCCTGTGGAGAAAGCGAAGAGGCAACACCGCCGCTTCTGCTGCTGGGCTTGACGCAGGCATTCGAACCTCAGCTACTTGGCCTCTCCTTGGATTTGACAACACAACATGTCGGGGGGGCGGTCAATCATATAGACCTTTTGGGACCTGGTGCCGCCTTGTGCCGCAAAAAAATGGACCCTACTTCTTTGACAAATAACTACATCTGCAACGGCAGCTTGCAAAGGTCTGAGGGCGGTGGAGCCCCACATCCAATCACAGAAGTCCATTGCAATGGGCGGTGATGGCAGACTGTAACAACACGAAACAGAATGCTGCTGTTTGAGCCATTGCGAGATCTCACACTTCCACCCTTTTACCAAACAAGCCTGCTCCCTGCCATCTGCCATGCGGACGTCGTGACTTCAAGCTGGCCTGCCAATGCAACATTGCCAAGCCCTTTGAGAAATTACAACAAAGGGTTGGGTTTAGGGTGGGTGGTGGCTTTAAGCTTGGTCTAGGTCGGTTTAGGGTTTTTGTCTAGTGGGGGATGTAGGGTGCGTTTAGGATGGGTCTACAGTTCTTTTTTGTTTAGGGTGGCAGGCCTGGTTTAGGGGTGGGCGCAGGCTTTCTTTAGGGTGGGTTTGCGGGGTCGAGTTTGTCCAGTCCTCAACCAGCCTTTCCGGGCGGTTGCCCTCCCCAGTCTGCCAGTCACCTGAAATGTCTCGAAACGACCGGCCTTTCCAGGCCAAGCTGCACCAAGGCTTTTGCCACCGTCTCCGGTGCACCACCTGGAGGATGGAGCAAGTGGCTGGGTGTGTCTAGGCTATCTGGCTCTGTGGCGCCTAATTTTGAGTGTGGATCGACGCATCACCTGTATTCATGTCAGGCCCGCGACACCTGGGCAAGAAGGCAGAATTCATCCTGTTGCGGCTTGCCCTCTTTCATGGACCCACGTGGCACCGGGAACCAGTGACCCTCCCACAAACGCCTTCAATCGTCATCTTGGAGGAAGAAAATAAAGAGGTGCAAGGTTGCCACAGCCAATGGTGATATGCACTTCATCATTTGCCCTTTGCCTTCACCTTGCAGCCACACACCGCGCCCGGCTTCCGGCCTTTGCGCGCCATGCTGCCGCTAGTGTCCAGGCAAAGGATCAGGGGTCCATTTTCTCCGGCAGGCCGCACCTGCGAACCGAACTTGTGAGCTGAAAGCCCGAAGTTTGACAACCCAAGTTAGAACTGGGCCTTGCTGTTGCAGCATCTTTTTGTTAGGGAGGGGGGGCCAGCACAAATCTACCTCCCCAAACTCCTCTCGCCAAAGATGGCTGGAAGAGGTCGGCCAAAGAACAGCTCCTTGAGCTCTTCACTGCCGACACAAACCCTGGGCTGTCCTCAGCCGTGCCCACCCACCCCCCCGCCAAACACCCCCCCGCCCCCCTCTAAACCAACTAACCAGCTCACAACGGGCCAACCAACCCCCCGCCCCACCCCTCTAAACCAACTAACCAGCTCAACCTGCCAACCACCCGCCAAAACACCCCGGATGGCCCTTTGTGACCCGCCGAAACACCTCCGAATTCCCCGCAACTTCGCCCAAACGAGCCCCAAAGGAGCCTCCTCAGAGTTCAGCTCGCGGGTGGGCAGCTGCTGCCAGGAGTTCCTGGGCAAAGGGTTCTTTTTTCCCCCCCAGGAGTCGCTTCCAGGGGTGGGTGAAAACCCCCCCCCCCAGAAAACCCCCAGAAAACCCGCAGAAGCTTCGAACTAGCGCCAAAATGAGACAGCGAGAAACGTTCAGAGCTTGCTGCGCGTCTGTCAAGGGCGATGCGCGGCTTCAAAAGCCAGTTCGACACGGCATTTGTGAAAGTCGTCTTTCCGTGCCTTTGTGGCAGCCGTTCTGGCACAGCCCAATGCAGCTACTCTTAGCTTTGGCTCTAGAGACTTGCTGGGTTTGTGCTCAGGGAAGGGGTTGGGGAGAAAATCCGCCCACAAAGTTTCCTTGGGCTGCGTTTACGCAAACGGCCGCATTCCTTGACAAAACCCTTGGGTCACGGACGATCCTTGGCCATGCGGGAACGGCACACGTTCACTTCCTCCTGTTTGGACCCAAGAGCAAGGGGCCTGGGGTTGAGCAGCGTAAGTTTGCAGCTGGCACAGCAATCAACGAAGTTTCTTCGCGCAAAAAGAAAAAAAGAAAAAGAAGAAGAAAAAACAAAAAGACACAAAATATCAAATCACAGGACGAGCTCCGCTAGAAACGCAAAGACAGCAAAGCAGTTGCACAGAAGCTGCGAAGGCCATGCATAGAGTTCAACCCTCGCTGACAAGCTAGCTCCTCAAAAAAAAAAAATGTCTCATGCGGCTTCGGCTGCAAGTACCCTTTTGGGAGCTTTCAAAAGCTCTGAACGTTTCTCGCTGTCTCATTTTTGGAGGTCCTCAAGTTGCGGTGGGCTTTTCGAGTCTTCTGAAGCCCTGCTTGCGGGTTTTCTGGGGGAAGTTTCACCCCCTCCACGGAAACCAGTTACAGTAAGGAACGCCGGGCAGGGTCCCATTTTTTGACTACCCCATGGCAGACTCAAACCCAGGGGTGGTTGATTCCCCCACAAGGGACACCCCTGGGTTTAAGTCTACCCCAAGGTAGTCCAAAAAACGGAACCCTGACTCCAGGATTTGGGTCACAGTAGGCCACATCTTGCCACATCTTCGGCCTGTCGTAGCTCACCAGGGACTGCTCCAGGCGCCGGGCGTGGTGCAGCGCCCTGGCGAGATATTGCGGATGGAGACACATGGCTGTGGTCGTCAAAACCGTTTTGGGATCCCATTTTGGGGCGGATGAACACCCATGTACCACCCATTTTGATGTTCACCAGGGGTTTCTTTGGGTTTTGACCCCCGGCCATAAAAGACTCGTTCCTCCCAATGGTGCCATTTTTAGGATTGGGTGCACCACCCATTTAAGAACCAATTTTAGTGGGGATTGGGATGTTCACCCCCCCCCCACCCCCCGCGCCATGTATCTCCCCGAGGCCCTCCGGCCTCAGCGCGGGCCGACGTCGGCCGTGCACCAGGAGGTGCGCCTCGACCCATCGACCAGCGCAAAACGGGCAGAGAACCATGTCGCCAACATGTCGAGCATGGCTTTTTGCTCGGGGAACCCCACTCCATGCACATCCAACCCAGCCACCAAGCCATCCAGCCATCCACCATCCATCTTGGCATGGAAATCAGCCCACAAAAAATCGCAGCAGGTTTGTTGCCACCCCTTCCCTGCCGAAAGCCAGCCAATGGATTTGCGCTTTGCAGCATGCCCCTCACCAGTGCGCCCTTTGAATGCCTCTCATGAAATCCGGTAGCTCGCACCCAAAAAGAAGAAGAAAAAAACACAACAGTTTTCTCGGCTTTTCGTTTTGCATTTGAGTGTGCAATGCACAGTATTTGTTCCCGTTGCACCGCCCTCTCAGCTCGTACGGTGCAACAAAGCCTGGATGCGAGCGTCACCGAGGAGCCAAGCAACTACGAGGCGCCAAAACATGTCGCCAACAAGGAAAGTAGGCTGATAAGTGCAAGCATGGCAGGGATCCGACCCTTGCCATGCAGGCTAGGTATCTGCAGCATCCTACATTCACATTTGAGACCCAAACGGGGTATCCCTCGTGCCTCCGCCGGCAACATCAGCTCCAGGGACCCGCTCCTCGCGAGGCCCGAGGTCTCCGTCTGCGCCTGCCGTGACCGCGCCACGCCCCAGGCCGTGGACATGTCCTCGCGAGCGCGGGCTCCGCCCGCGCTGCTTGGGGCAACGTATGTCCAAATCTTTTAACCCGGGGGGTGGCTTGGGCCAAGGCAAAAAACGTCCATCTTGTAACCCTCAAAGCCGTCGCGCGCCTCTCGCCCCCCTCCTCCTCTTCCCGTGGCAGCCAGCGCCGGCGGCCCTTGACCGCGGCGCGGCGCCCGATGCGCAGGACCAGCTTCCTGAGGCGCAGAACTTGGGCGCGTCTTGCCCCCATGGCGTCGGGGTCCTTCCCCCGACGAAACCAACAAAAAAGGGCGGGTACCTTGATACGCCCGTTCAAAAAGGGTGCGAGGCCTACGCCACGGCTTTTGCGAGGCCTACAGTGGAAGCGCTGGAGTTTGATCATTCATTCACGGCGTGCGGTGCGCGTGCACAGCCAAGGCGGTGCAGCGCGCTAATCCTGTCTCTTCAGAACGGCCGGCTCAAGTCATTAGATGAGCGAAAGGGCCGAGTCGAGGCAAAGAGCTGCAACTCCAACCTAGTCTCCTGTACCAGACTGGTGGGGAGTCTGAGCTGCGTGCCCTTCAAGGGCATGAAGACGTGACACGCCTGGAGGTTCCTAATCGTTACCTCAGGCAGATCAACCTGAAAAAGCGTTGCCAAGGCCCGAAAGATCGACCTAAGCAACTGCACATTGTTGGCCAAAGTTGCCCCATGCGATCTGGTGTCGCTAGAAGTCTGCCAGACCGCAGCAGAACTAATGGCAGGCACCGGAAAGCAAGCAATGCCCTGTTTGTGGACAAGGCATGCCAACTCAAGCCAGCTGAATTCAATGAGCCCAGCTTCAGAGCTGTCAACAGAGAACAGCCACTCAAGGAGGGTCACAACAAAGTTCGGCTCAAAACTTGCAATCGTAGGTGAAGCAAAAACGAGTCCTCGCCACTCCAAAGGAACCGAATCCAGCCAATACTCACCAGCTTTCCAAACCGTTGGAGGCAAAGAAGGAACGCCATCAAGGGGCTCAGGGTTCTCCAAGGAGGCCGGAAGGGGCACACTAGCTCCAGCTTCCGCAATCGCAAGGTGAAGTGAGGCCACAGCATCCAAATCTACAAGAGCCTGCGCTTCATGCTGCAAATACAGATCGTAAACCTGCAAAAAGCTCCAGGAGCGCGTCCAGGCTGCTTGCTTTGCAAAGTGATCTGCACGGGCATTCCACTGAATGGTCCAGTCCTGCAGGGGGCCAGTGCTGTTCCTGAGATCTCCATGCGCAGAAATGTGCTGTATTCCAGCGCTGCCTAAACGAAGACGAAGCAGAGGTAGAACATCCTGCCAAAGATCCCTGTGTACAACATCAGGACGAAGTTCCTGCTGGAGAAGAAGCTCCTGAAATTGGGTCGCGGCAACAGCTGAATCCGACCAGATGGTGAGGTTGCTACTGTTAGCAAATTCAACAACCCAGTGCAGTGTGGCAACGATCGCCGTGATCTCGGCTCGGGAAATAGATTGGTGGTGTCCCGCAAGTGGACCATGCGAAATAAGGCGGCCATCATGAGATGTGATTGCTGCCCAACCAGCAAGAGCCAGAAGAGGATGTTCTGGCCGAAAGCATGACCCGTCCGTAAATACATCAATGGAATCAGGAACCTCACACGGTTCCACAAGATGGTATCGTGGATGTGGGTCAGCATGAGCATGAAGGAGAGCACCATGATGTGGATTGCGTGGTAGGCAAAGATGATGAGTGAGGCAACGCGGAAGGCGGGGCCATTGCCGCACCGCATATTCGTGAAGGTCATGAACATGATGAAGCCCAGGGCAAGCCGTACATCGGTGCTCCACGGTGTCTGGGAGTTGGCAGCAGGCGCAGAGTCCAGTTTGTGAAGTATCAAACTTGGCCTGGATTTGGCCCGTGATAAACGCCCCCTCGATGAGCGAGTTCAGACGAGCACGATCCAAGGGAGAGCGGCCCCGCAGCACGGCCTTATTGCAAGCCCAATCAAGGCCATGGAGGCCCTCAAAGTCCTTGCGATGGGCAACCGACCTGGCAATATGTTGGTGCCACGCATCTTGAGCCCGCTGCCAAAGGGTGGCTTCATCGAGCTCCAAGAAATCATGTCAAGACATCGTGGTCCTCGATGTAGGGTGGTTCCAGGATACGCCAGGACAGGAGGTCAAACTGCTCCAACAGGGCGCTGAACGGGCCTGGGTGAAAGACGCCAGTGAACTGCTGCATAAATTGTTGCCAAAGCTCAAGGAGGAGCGGCTGCTTGAAGGAAAGTCGTCGGAAGTCACGGAAGGTGGCCCAGAGTCGAAAAAGGCCAGGGTCACACATAGGGGTTGAACCCAATAGGGACAGCCGGATCAGGGGCTGCGCACCAGCTTTTCCATGACCGAGCGCCCTAGCTGCCGTGGTCCGGAGCTTCTGAATGACTGTGCCCGGGCAGGAGTTGATTCCCGGGGCGTGGAAGATCTTGGGCCATAGCGCCTGGACGATGACCTGAGACTTTAGAGGTTCTGCAGCCTGCAGCCTACGAAGGCGTAGCCAATGTGGTTCCAGCGATCGTATTGTATCCAACAACAGGGAAGTGAGCCGCTTGCGTTGGTAGGTCATGTTGCCACCAAGATCTCGAGCATGAGTGCGAATTGCTTGACCAAATTTGACTAAGCGCTGCCTGCTAGTGGAGGCAAGGGCCCAACAGTAGGTCTTGTCAAGATCTTGATCTAGCTGCCAGAGTTCAAAGAAGCAGCTCTGTACCACCAGGCCATGTACCAGGTCTCCCACGGAGTTGGCAAGCAGGCTGTAGTTGTCCACAAACGAGGTTGCAATGGTACGAGTCATGTAGAAGTGGTAGGCAAGGTCAATGGCCAACATACCAGTGCAACTCAAGGCACAGCCTTGTGGGTAGCCCGTGGTAGAGGTGATACCCATGCCAATGTGGGAAAACCACGTCCACCGGCGGCGGAGGTCACGGAGCCAGTTGTGCCACGTGGAAACAAGTCGGTCAGGTAGTCCAAAGTGTCGAAGAAGTGAAGTGGTCAAGGGCCTAGGGAGGCAGTCAAAGGCCTTGGAGATGTCCGTGTTGTGTCCAATGAGGTCAGCATCCGTGATGAGGCTGATCTCAATGAGGGCTTGGCTCATCATCCAGAGCTCACCCGCCTCCCGATCCGGGAGAAAGCCTATGGCAAAGAAGTTAGCCATGTGTTCAAGATGTCGAAGCACTTGACGGGCAGGTATAGAGCTCCAACATCTGTGGACAAACGAAGTGACCACGATCGGCCGAAGGGCATCAGCCGTCCGTGCATCTTCAACCTTGGGAATGCCAATGGCGTGGCCTTCCGTGAGTTGACGGGGCCAGGAGTGCGTCCGCTCTATTTGGTTCACAAGGTCAAGGAGGGCAGCCTGGAAGCCAGGAGGCATTCGTTGCAGGTCAAGGCGATCATATCCATCAGGACCTCGAGCCGAGCGGTCATGAAAGCGCTTCAGGCCAAGGGACCAGTCAACCGCAGTAAGGTCTTCCAGCTGTAAGGGTTTGCTGGGCAGAAAAGCACGCGAGAAGGCCGTGATGCGTCTCCAGGCGCTGTCGGGAATGCAGGTGATCTTAGCCCAGCGCTTGGACCAGAAGTTGTTGAGCTCCGCAAAGACGTCCTTGGGGGTCACGAGCTCGATGGACGCCTGAATTTCCTGACCCGGGAAGAGGAGGCAATCCGACTCCACTTTGAGATGGTTGGGAGCGAGCAGGGTGATTTCTGCCGGGCTGTCCGCAATGGTCCATTGGACGTGGTCGTAGGCAGCGAGGTCGTGTTCAGTAAGGATCTCCGTGCCATCATCACTGACTGCAAGGATGGTGGTCGAGACAGTCTTCTGAAGCGATTGCGGAGGACCTGGCGAGGGGGCTTTGACCGACTGGAAGAGCCGTCGCCGATGTTGTTGTAAGGAAAGCTGGAGCGCCTGGGATCGTTGACGAATATTCCAGGACTCGAACTGCCTGAAGTTGGCCTCAAAGTCATCTTTGACCAGCAGCAGGACATCAATAGCCGGGGGTTGTACCGGAAGGTGGGGTGGAGAACCTTGCAACTTCACGGATCGAGAAGACCACCATGTAGAGAAACCATCCTGAAATCCCCTGGCACGCAAGATTGCTCGCCAGGTGTCTGAACGATGTAGAACAGCTTCAGGATGGCTCTTGTTGCCCTTGGTGGCATGGCATAGGTGCTGTAGGCGTTTCATCTGCTGGTACCAGTGGATGATAGCGCGGCTCACAAAGTCGCTGACAAGTTGAGGATCTCCAGGACGCCCAGGGCGGGGAAGAGGAGCAGAAACAGCACGGTCTTCTGGATCAAGCCGAGCTCCACGACCAGAAGGAGGCTAGTTGAACTCGGCCCAGTTGATACTCCTGGTGTGGCCACGGGATCAGGATCTGGCGAGCCGGAACTGAGCTGGTCTGCAGCACACCTGACCAAACACCCGCAACTCGAGCACCTCCACGTAGCGGTACTGGGGCACCAGGAAGCACTTGTAGGCGACGATGGTCCCGTGACGCACGTCCCTGCATACGTTTCTTGAAGGTATGAAGACCAGCAAGAGTGAGGTGAGTCTCACTGAGATTCCAAATGCCGTTGGGGAGGGACATGATGTAGTCCTCCTTGCCCAGCGCGCCGTTGAGGTTCCATGTCCCAATCGTGAGACGATGAGGACCAGGGTGTGAAGCTTCACCAAAACGAAAAGGGGGCACATTGCTCAGCGACCGGGTCGAGGCCACCGAGCTCAAAATCAAAGCTGTGCAGAGGCTCAGAGGGCCATACCAGAGAGGTAGAGGGACTTGACGACGGAGTAGTGGCGGCACCCACAGCCACCAGTTCCATCCAGACCATCAAGTAGCCAAAATGCCGGCGGCCCTTGACCGCGGCGCGGCGCCCGATGCGCAGGACCAGCTTCCTGAGGCGCAGAACTTGGGCGCGTCTTGCCCCCATGGCGTCGGGGTCCTTCCCCCGATGAAACCAACAAAAAAGGGCGGGTACCTTGATACGCCCGTTCAAAAAGGGTGCGAGGCCTACGCCACGGCTTTTGCGAGGCCTACAGTGGAAGCGCTGGAGCTGATCAAAGGTCACAGTACAACCCTTTTCATCTGTTTGTTGCGAAAAAAGAATGGCCAGGCGCACCCGAGTCCCGAAAGAACCAATCCAAACGTGGATGTCGTCGGCAGCCAGTTCACGCAACTCTCGAGTCATTCTGACCAACGCAAGGTTGCCATTGCTCCTCCGGGCTATCTGAGTGGCGAGCGCCTCCCAGCAGCGCAAGTTGGGTGTAAGCTAAGCGCTTGCAGCTCCGGGCACATGGTTTTGAAGACGAGGCTGCTCAAAGCCACGCCAAGTATCATCCAGCGCCCGATGTCCCACAGTGAGTTGTGCCAACTATGCAGTTGTTTAGGGAAAGTGGCAATCAAGAAAGTCTAAAGGCGTAATCAAACCAAATTGAGAAGTTATTCTCCATCCCACCCCCACCCCACCCCCACCCCCCACCCCAGCCTGAGGTCCGGCAGCTTCGCCAGGAGCTTGCGCAGCTTCCGGGCCGCCCGCCAGCCCTGGCCAACTCGGGTCTCGGGTTCTCTGCAGGGCTGGGCAGGAGCCTCCAAACGGTGAAAAAGCAAAACTCCAAATGACATGGCTCCGAGAAACCTGATCTGACCATGGCATCTCATGGAGCAAGAATGGAAATGGCCATGGGTCAAAATCCGAATCGTACTCCCCAGTGAACATCCCAATCCAACCACTAAAATAGGGTTCACAAATGGGTGGCGAATTCACCAACCCCAAAATGGGATACCCTTGGTTTTGACCCACAGCCACATGACCCCACTCACAAAGAACAATCTGCTTTTCTTAGCCATATTACTCTTTGACGCCCTGCTGCCTCCATGTTATGCGCTTCTGGGTTGCTGCAGCCTACAGGCAGAAACAACGCCTTCAAGCCCCAAACACACCCCCGGTTCCATGACCAACTGTCGGCAAATTTGCACCTCCAGACATGCTTTTGCCTGTAGTAGTGCTTACAATCTGGGCTCGCAGATGAAAGCTCTTTGCATACCTGCACTAGGGCGGTGAGACCCACATGCCAATCTTACAGGTTGCCCCGTGCTGATGCCTAAAAGTGGGAGGCAAAAGCGGACACACTAGCCCCCCTCTTCATACCCCAGCATCCAACCCCCTAAAATAAGTCCTGCCCCCCAAACAAAATCTCCAAAGAGACCCAAACCCCAATTTCAAAGCAGCAGTCCAGGCTAACCATGCGGCTCCACACTTTTTTTGAGGGTACCCTTTTTGGGGGTTGCTTCATCTTGAAAAAACTGTTCCCCCCTCCACCCCCCCCCAAAAAAAAAAAAAAAAAAAAACGGTTCCCCCCCCCCCCCCTGTTGTTTTGCCATGTCCGCTCCCGCCCCTCTCCCCCTCGCACGGATTCCCCGGCTTCGCTCCGCCTGAGAGCGGCGCCACCTCCCGCCGTCCCCGGCAAAGTGCTCCGCGAGGCTCCGGGCGCAGCCCAGGCCGAAGGCCTCCTCCTGGGAAATCCCCGGGCGATTTAACCGCCGCCCAAACTCGGCTGCTTTGACCAGGGATGCACCCAGGACTTGGTCCGCATTTTTGTGGCAACCACCCGTTGGAGGGGTTCTCTCGGGGTCCGACTCCAGCTCTCATTCCTCGGTGGCTTTCTGCTCCGCTAAGAGCTTCTAACTTTTCGCGGCTTAATACGGAAAACCCATTAGTTGGCAAAAAGTTCTTCAGTCCTAACATCCAAGCAAAATGCGCCAAAGAAAAGGGGAAACTGAAAGGTCAAAAGATCGGCTTCGGGGCAATTGAGATCGTTTGTTTTAGTGCTTTTTGAAGGGGGGGGGGGTTCGCTGGCTGGTGCGAAAAAGATGCAGGGAAGGAGGAATGGAGCCTGATCCCGAACAAAACCATCCAACTGGTGGTTTCCTTTCAGGGGACCAAAAGCCTGGGTTCATTCCCGAAACTCCCTGCTAAGCACCAGCAAGGAAAGCCTGGAATAATTCGAGGCCCCCTGTAAATACCGACCAACTATGGTTTCCCATGGTTTCAAAGTGGTGCGGACGAATTTTGTCCATCGGCAGTAGGAATCGCAACCCCCACCCCCCAAACGGCGAAACGGTTTGGTCCGCTTGGTTTCCCTTTACCCCCCCCCCAAAAAAAAAAAGACTTCCAGCAAGGGTACCATTGGGGGACGTTTACTCCAAAAATGGCGGACGGAAAGGCCCCCCCGCCCCCAGTTCACTGGAGAAACATCCAAGCAGGTCCCTCTGCTCAAAGTGCCGTCCAAGCGGCGGCTTCGTTGAGGGCGTCCACTGCCGGTTCCCAGTCCTGCCGAAATTCGTCCATCAGCTCCTGACATGCAAGAAAATGCCCAGCCTTGGGGCTCCCAACAGCTTGGAACCTAGCACCATCTAGGCATCACGCGATGTCCAAGAAGCTTTGACAGGCAAGCCGTCAAGCTCGCGTGCTGTTGAAGCTGAAGAAATTGACAATGGAACAGAAGCGCACAAGGCTGACAGACGTACACGCGGGACGCTCCAGACAGTAGAGGCTGGTGTCTTCTGCCAGCCCCTTTCGGTCATGCGTCAGTCCGGTTGTGCTTTGGCATAGTTTGAACATATATGGATTTGTCTCAAGGGGGAGTGCCCGAAATGGGTGGTTGCAACTTGTTTTCCGTTTCAAACCATCCCAAAAGGGTACCCCCCCCCCCAAAAAAAAAAAAAAAAAAAGTACGGGGTTGTAAGCCTGCCTTATGCTCGTGCACATGCGTTTCAAAGAAGGCTGGTGAATAGGGCTTGCCAAGCGCTAAGTGCACCGCAAGCCACACATCATGAAGAAGAACCTGGCGATTCCCTTGCAAAATTCCAACAAATGGTTCAATTTGTTCAAAGTGGCGCGAACGGATTTCGTCCATCCAAAGCCATGTCTGCCGCCATTTTCGAGGGATTGGCGGGCGGAGGGCGATCTTTCCCTTTAGGCAAGCGCCACCCTACTCAGAGGGCTCCCCTCTGTACATGAGAAAGGGGCCCAAGATCAAAAAAGACTGGCGCTTTTCAAAGACGCCAAATTACAAACGAAGGAGCTTGAGGAACATGCGCGCAAAACTGCCACCGCTGTTCATAGTTTGCTTCCAATGCCCCCAAGCCATCTTCACAGAAGCGGATTGAGATGCGCGATTGTCGCGACATCTAGCCCGTAGTTCTGGCCGAGACTACAAATTGCGACGCACGGTTGATAGGCGGAGCTGTCAGTTGGAGCCAAGGCAAGCTCCGATGGGCCAATGCCGAATGAGCATGCCCATCAACCATGCAAGCTGCCTGGCCCGTGCCATTTGCACACCTGGAGTCAGAGAAAGGGGAATCCGACCTCAAGTGACGTCGAAGACCCAAAATGGATGAGAACCAAAAACGGCAAACATCAGTATTGCATCTCCCCCAACAGAACCAACCGCCCACCTCTGAAGCAGGCAAAGAGCATAGCTTGCAGACAAGGACGCATCCAAACTTCGGTCGGCCACTCTGTCACTTCCTTTTCGCATTTCCCACTTTGCCCCACTTTTTTCGCATTCTCCAAGAAGCGGCCCTTCAACATTCCTGCAGCTTTTGTTTTTGACTTGATCCACATTTCGCGAACCTGAAAATCAATCATTTCAAAAGAGATCCCAGATTCCAGGTGGCCAGCGCAGCGAAAGAGACCTTTCAAATAGGCCAGGCCATCGCCCAATCTTTACCAGCGCGGCCGTTGAGTGCTCCGAATTTGCTGTACACGTGCAGAACTCTGCGCTGGGGGCAGCTCATCCTGCTGTTTGGGCCAGTCGCCAAAAGCAAGAAGCAAAAACCAGATTCTGGCCTTTGCCTGAGGCGAGTGCACACCATTTCTTTGCATCACAACCTCGCTGTTTGGGGTTTGCCCCCCTTTTTTGAGGGTACCCATTTTGGGTGGTTGCACAGGGAAACCAAAGGAAACCACCCGCTGTTGGGTTCCCCCATTTTGCCACACACCTATTTGGCCAACTGCAGCTGTATTTTCGGGCCCTCGTTGTAACAAACCCTCTTGGATGGGTGGGGTATTGCAACTAATGAAAGGCCTGTGGGTTCGCAAGTGATATAGACAACCAATCCCAGGTTCAAACATGTTGCCGCAGTTCAGTTGCTGGTCATTCTGGGGTCGACACGCGCAGGCCGTTTTCCCAGAAAGACTCAAGGCCGAATCTGTGGTTTGCCGACAAAACCCCCCACATGCCCCCAAACCAAAACGGCCATCGGGAAAGCCTCCCCCTGGCTGATTTAGGCCGCTGTCACCGGCCTCATTCTGGCTTCAGTTCTGGCTTCCTGGCCGCAACACTTCCTCCATGCGGCTATCAAGCTAAGGAACTCCCGTGAAGCCGCCAAAACGAGCGAAACACAAAGAGACTTTAAGACGAAATGCTTGTCAGCTCTGTCACTGAACGAGCTACGCCAGGCCCAAACCCAGACTCTGTGGTCTATTCCGGCCCGATTCCGATTCCAGCAAGGCCTGTCAGTGTTACTTGCAGCCCCGAAAACTGTGGGTGTCGCCTGCGGCTATTGTCAGTCCCCGTTCATGGCAAAATGTCCTCGCTTGGGTCAGAAGCATCGGTGGATGCACGTCAACCCACCACATCCCAATGGACTTCCCATTCGGTCGACAAACCCAGCTGTTTTCACAAGTCGGCTTTCAACCCATTCTTGGAGTCTTGGATCCCTTACCTGTATTGAGTCTTCATTATTTTTCCCCTTATCATCTCGGGCGTACCTTCGCAACCCACACTTTACCTCCATTTGCTGCAGTCCCATGGAGGAAGCAAACATATGTCCAGAAAGGGGGAAGTATCCCTTTCAAACCAAAAGGGGAAATAAAACAAAAGACACAAAATACATGTCTCCAGCAAACGGAAAATTTGAGATTCTGCCAAACCCCGACCTCGAACGAGCGACGCCCGCCCCGCGCACCGCGCTTCGCGCCGCCTCAAGGCCTCCGCCACCGCGGCGCCGAAGCGCCGCCGCGCCGCCGTGCAGATGTGGCGCCCGTTGGCGGAGCGCCGCAGCCGCGCGCCCAGTGCCGCCAGGAGCTCCAGGATCTGCTCGCGCCTCGGTGAAATCTACCCCAGGGCTGTGGGGAATGACCACTGTGATACAACAAAATTTAAAAAGGGCTTCCCAAAGACTATTTTCTTCATATAAAGGGGGATTCCCTCGTATCACAGAAGTGGGAGGTGATATGGCCACATGGTCAAATCCAAATCGCACCCCCAGTGAACATCAACCAATCCAACCACTAAAATAGGGTTCAAAAATGGGTGGCGACTTCACCTACAAACCAAGATGGCACCATTGGTTTTGACCCACAGCCATATCCACCCCAGCTTATTAAGACTGAGCCGCGGAGCCCTGCATCACTGCGAAACCATGGTTGAAACCAGGACGTGTTGGTATTTACGTTGGGGAATCGCTTCATTCCAGGGTTCCTGAGGTGGTGCAGGATTTCGTCCATCCACAGTATGGCCATGGGTCAAAACACAAATCGTACCCCCAGTGAACATCCCAATCCAACCACTTGCACCTATCCCAACTAAAATGGGTGGTGACATCCACCCAAGGCTTATGAATACTGTGGATGGTTGCGAAATCCATTTCGCACCACCTAAGAAACGCTGGTTTCTGATGATTCCCTGCAAATACCAACAAACAATGGTTTCAACCATGGGTTCACAGTGGTGCGAAATGGATTTCGTCCATCCACGGTATGGGGGTGGGGGCCCCTGCAAAAAGTTGTGAATCCCCACTAAACCCAGGGACACCCCCCTGTTGATAAACTTGGGTTTATTAATCCGGGGTCAACACTGGTCTTAAGAAACGGCATGGAACCCAAAAAGCCGGTGCCCATCCATCGTCAATCAGGCTTGCCTGACCCAAAAACTAAGCATGGGATCCCGCGCAGGAATGGTTCATTGACATGGCCGCAGGATAGTCCGCCAAGCTGCTAAAGCTATCGTCGGATCTCCAAGCTCGGATCGGCAATCATAGAGCCTATCTCAATGCCAGCCGTACTAACAGCCTATCATATCTTCGCATCTAGATGTGTATGGCATGCTGTATGCTGAGGGCGGCAATTTTTCAAGCCTGTGCCCCAGGAAAGCTCGTCCAAGGCAACCAAAACTGATTGGAACGCGTTGGACTTCAAGTTTGCCCAACGAGAATCCCTCAGGGGTCCAAAGGCTAACGTGGACTCCTTCATCTCGGCAAGCAGGTTGTCCTGAACTCACGGCAAGCGGCTCGGATTCCAGGCTTCCCGCGATGGCCCGCTGCGCGATGTAGTTCCCGAAGCGGTCCAGCGCCTTGGCTGCGAGCGGGCCAAGCTTCGGATCTTGGCTGTGAGGCCAGGCCCGGGGTCCAGCGGCCAGAGAACATATCAAGGTCGGCAAGCCAAGCCAAAACGAAGGATTCAGCTTGGCTGCTCCAAGACGTCGCCCAAAAATGGCGACAGGGATCCTTACAATATACACCCTGAACATTGCCTTGTAAATGGTGGTGTCCCTGCATTTTGGTTTGAAAGCCATGTTTCATATGGGCAACATGTATCTTTTAAGGAGCCCTAATACACCTTTCGGCCCAAGGCGCCACTTGCAGGAGGACCGAGGGCTGACCGCTCAGCAACCTCTGCATGACCTCCGCCCTCTCCTCCTGCAACTCCTGGCGCTCGAAGAGCGTCTCCAGCGCTTGGTCCAGCACCAAACTCGCGTGCCGGTTCCGCGCGTAGACCAGGAGCCCGCACTCCTGCGTGGCTTGGGGGGGGTGCCGGGGGCTGTTGGGGGGGTTTTGACTACCCCAAGGTAGCCTTAAACCCATGGGTTTCCCTGTTGGGGAAATCGACCACCCCTGGGTTTGCGTCGACTTTGGCGAAGTCGTAAAACGGAACCCTGGTTGGGGGAGTTGCTGGGTTGATGTTGCAGGTGCTTCCAAGCGTTGGGAGTTGGAAGTGGGAAGGCGGACAGCCTGGAGTGGCAATGGAGGGGGAAGTCCGATCAATGGCTGATTTCGTCAAGGCCCGAGAGGGTCTAGGTCTGGCAAAGCTTCCAAAAGATCCGTTGGCCAAAGGCGGTTTTCAACATCTAATACCTTGGGTGCTCAGGTGCGCGCGGCCCTTCCTTCCCGTAGCGAAGCGTCCTGGGCACACAGGATCTGCGCCATCCGTTGGACCTGCTCGCAGCTGCCGTGGGCCAGCAGCGCCCGGAGCACGTTGTGGCCATAGGCGTCAAAAGCGAGGCGCTCCACACACTCAGGCCTCAGCGGAAAGCCGGCGCCGCGGCGTCGGCTGAAAGCCGCGGCGTCGGC